CGACACCTGGACCGCCAACTCCTCCATGGCTACCTCTTGAACACTCCACTCCAGCACCCCGAGAAGGAACACCCCCAGAACCAGAAACTCTCTCAGCACCGGCACCACCCCCAGGACCACCGGGACACGCCACGACAGGAACCCCGAGACCAGCATACTCCTCAACGCCAGCACCCCCAGAGAACACGAACTGCTGCAGCGGCGGCGACAACGGCGTCTTCTGCTGCGGCGGCGGCTGCGACGGCGGATGCGGCTGCAACGGCGGAGGAGGACACACTGGGGAGGGGGCAGGCGGCGAAGACTGCGCCGCAGGGCCACTAGAGTCAGCCGACTCCTCAACCGGGACAACCGACGGGAGCGGGGTGACGTGAGACACACCAGACGGGGAAGGGCTGGGAGGTGGAGAAGAAGGGGCGACCAGGGGAGGGGGAACGAGGAACAGGGGGGGAGTAACCGGGGGACCACGGTGGGGAGAACGGTGGTAGAAGGAGACGGACTCGTCAAAGGTGACGTCGCGAGAGTGAAGGAAACGGTGAGACGGCGGGTGGTAGAAGTGCCAGTCAGACGAGTCCAGGGGGAAGCCTAGGAAGACACAGGGGACGGTGCGGGCAGTGAGATTGTCCGTGCCAGAGGCACGAACATGAGCAAGGCAGCCCCAGACGTGGAACGCAGACGCGTCACCAGGAGACCCGGTCCGGAGGAGGGTCGGCGAAACCTGCGGCCGCTGAGGGTGCGGCCACAGGTTAAGCTGGTGAGTGGCGTAGAGGACGGCGAACAGCCACAGATTACGGGGTGCACCAGCATGGATCACGGAGGTACGAGCCATCTCCATGACCAAAACAATCCGTCGCTCAGCGACCCCATTCTGCTGTGGGGAGTCCGGCAAGGTGAACGTCTGTGTGATGCCCTCCGCTTGATAGAAACGCCCAAGGCAACCCGAGGCAAACTCGCCACCGTAGTCAGAGTGGAGACGCAACAAAAGGAGACCTCGGTGCACACGCGCAAAGACAAGCCACGGGATAAGAACGTCAAACACGTCGGCCTTCCGCTCCAGGGGAAACACGATGGTGTAACGAGTGTAGTCGTCAACAAGGACGAGGAAGTAACGCTCACGACGCAGCCCATGGAGGGGGAAGGGGCCACAGACATCCATGTGCAAGGTCTGTAAGGGTGCAGTGGTGGGGGGGAACGAGGAGGAGTGAGGGGCAAGACGTAGACGGCCCTCGACGCAGGGGGTGCACGGCGGCGCGGGTGAGGAGGGGAGCGCGGGGAACGACCCAGGGAGACCTAGAACAAGACCGTGCTGAGACATATGACGAAGACGAGGGAGGGCAGGGTGACCTAGACGCTGGTGCCACAGTAGTGACGGGTGAGTGAGCGACCGACACGAGCAAGCCGCAGCTATCTGAGGAGACACAGTCACCTTGGGAGACATCCCAACCGGGGGGGGGCGCGGTGTCCAACGTGAACACGCTAGACACTGGGTCCTGGGGGAACGTGATGAGGGGAGCACCTGTGGTGGCCTCGGTACAGACAGCGTACCGCTCGTGTCCAGGGAACGTAGTGGTGACGCCAAGGTCCTGGAGGCAGCCGACACCAACTAGGTTCCTGGAGAACGAGGGGATGTGCAGGCCTGTAAGTGAGCCTGAAGGAGCTGCCGGACAGGGAAGGGTAGTGGAGCTACGAGCTACGACAGGGCTTGAGGAAGGGTCAGCCAAGGAAACTGCGGCGGGAGCAGCAAGTTGCGTGAGAGTAGTGGAGTCCCGGAAGAAGCTCTGGGAAGCGCCGGAGTCAAGGGTGAAGGAGAGCGCGGCAGTGGCGGCAGGAGCCAAAGAAGCCAGGGAGGAGCCTAGGCTAAACAAATCAAGGAATCCTACGCCTGACGCAGCAGGAGAGTCTGAGCTAGGCAGACATACGCAAGACAACACGGGGTAAGCGGAACCAATCACACTAGAGTCATCGACATACATCACATACAACGCAGAACAAATCTCATCCAGGTCCATATCAAAGATCTGAACACCCCGACGGAGCAAGCTGAGTCAGTCGGGGAGGTCGGGCGACGGGCCGAAGCGAAGACGAAACAGGTCGTCCAGGCGGCTGAAACAGCGGGTGGGGGTGTGATCGATCTTACCGCACACTAGGTCACGGCGAGGACCAGTATGGAGCTGGTACTGGCAGCGCCCGTCGCCCAAGCCACGACCCGACGTCACGCCGCGCGCACGACCACCGCGATCGCCGCCACCACCAGCGCCGGGCCACCGGGCGGGAGGCGACCAACCCACCGCTGTTGCCGCTGCTGCTGCGGCGGCTGCTGATCCAGCGGTGGAACCTGCTGCTGCTGCTGCTGAGACTGCTGTTCGGCGGTGCCAGGCTCGGCACTGCTGGACGGGGCGATAGAGTGCTGGCAGGTCTCTATGGTAGACAGGGTGTCGACAAAGTCAGTGAGGGTGAGGTCTGCGGGGTGGAGACTAAGAAAATGATTGCAGGCAATAGCAAGGCGGTCAGGGAGGCGGGTGGCAAGCAGATAGAGGGTAGCGCAGAGGGGGGGCTGGAACACGCGAAGCTGGGCCTCAGTGCAGGCAGAGCGCCAGGTCAAGTCTAGCGTGCGCAAGTGGGCGGCTAGGTCAGCGACAGTGGGGAAAGACGCGAGATCAGGAAAAAGCAGGGGCACGATCAAGCGACCGACGGAGGCAAAGGACGGGGTAGAATAGCGCGCAATAACAGCCTCTAGGAACTCCTGCGCGGTCCTGACCGACCTAAAGCGGGGACGCTCAGACAGGGGAAGGGCATGTCTGATCGCGAGCTCTGCGACAGCGTCACGCGACAACCAGACTGCACGGGCAAGGGCAGCAGCGGTAGCGGACTCACGATCAGCAGACGTGGGTTCAGCGGGTAGCCAGCAGGGGGGTCAGGGCAGGGGAGCGTATCGTCGGTGTGGACAGCCAAGGAGTCTCCGTCCTGCCGCTGACCAGTAAGCTGACGGCGGAGGTCGACGAGCCACGTGTCGAACTCGATCGGCTGACCCTCCGCATCAAAGTGCAACACTGAGTCCGCCATCAGGAGCGATGCAGCGGCGGTGCAGTGCAGGACAGCGCATTGCGTGACGGTGCAGGGCGGTGCAGTACAGGGCAGTGCAGTGCAATGCGGTACAATGCAGTGCAGCGCGGCGCAGTGCGGTGCAGGGGGGTGCTGTGCGGTGCAGCGCAGTGGAGTGCGGCGCAGCGCAGTGCAGGGGCCGGTTACACGTCAGGGGCAGCTGGGCGACGGGGCCGGGCGTGCAGAACGGGCTGGCGTGGGCCGGCCACGGGACGGGCGCGGGCTGGCAACGGAATTTGCGCGGGCCAGTTGCGAGTCGGGCGGGGGTTGGGCCGGTGACGGGACGGGCACGGGCCGACGACGGGACAGGCACGGGCCGGGTACAGGATAGGCGCGGGGCCGGCTACGGGACGGGCGCGGGGCCAGCTACGAGACGGGCGTGGGGGCCAGCTACGGGGCGGGCGCTAGGCCGGCTACGGGACGGGCGCGGGCCGGTGACGGGACGGGCGCGGGCCGGAAACTGGACGGGCGCAGGGCCTGCTACGAGGCGGGCGCGGGCCGGCTACGAGACGGGCGCGGGGCCGGCTACGGGACAGGCGCGAGGGCCGGCTACGGGGCGGGTGCGGGGCCGGCTACGGGACGGGCGCGGGGGCCGGCTACGGGGCGGGCGCGGGGCCGGCTACGGGACGGACGCGGGCCGGCGGCCGACAAGGGGCGGGCCGGCTAGGAGAACGGGCCAGCTAGGGGGGACGGGCGGCTAGGACCTAGGGCGGAAGCGCTGGTGAGCGAATGGGACCTAACCTTCTTATGATACCATGTTAGAATGCTAGAATGACTAGAATGAGAGAGTACAAGGGAATATAGACTAGTGTATTATACCCTCCAAGGCACAAACCTATACAGTCTACAATAATACACTAAGTTATGTTTTGACAGACAAAACCCTGGCATGGCAACCATTCATCATAACATATCGTTGCTGGCCTGGCTTCAGGAAGTTTGCTAATTTTTTCATAGCAGAGGTAGGTTGGAGGATAGAAAATTAGCCCGAAAAAAAAAAAAAAAAAAAAAACCAGAAAAGAAACAAAACATGGTGAGGCCAAGCGGCGTATACGAGTAGTATTTCCCTGTGCTGCACCGATCTGAGGGAAATGTGTGCCCTGGGTTTGGACATTGCCCTTGCTAAGAAGGTGCCTTACACTTCAAGCAGAAAGGAAGATTGGGTTCCTTTACGATCTGGAACGGTTGAGCGGACAGGAAAGTTTGGGGTGCGCCTGTTGCGGAATGGGCTACTCGGAGATTTTACGAGCCCTGGGCACCTGGAACTCTGCCCCGGTCCGTGTGAACCGAACCCAGGCACCTGACGTGAGAAAAAGCTGACCCTTGTTACCTGGAGAAGAACCTGTGCGCGCAGATTTCATGTGGCGCAAAGTGGCTGGGTTTGCCTGCACGCAAATCGAGTAGTCAACCATCATCCATCAACAAAACTTTGACGGGAGAAGCAAAAAATGCTGGGTCCAGACCCGCATTGTTCCGACGAGGTGAAAATGAATTGAAATGTAGATGAAGTAAGGCATATATAACCGGCTTACGAAAACAAAAACACACAAAATATGATGCTTGGTCAGGCTAGAGACCGGGCAGGTGTTTGAAGCATAAATGTATGCGGCACCAGACACAGCAGCACCATCGTTCATCCAATCGGCAACCACCTGACCTCTCACCCCTCCCTGAATTCTCGGGACGATCTTCCCCTTCATTTCCCCCAACAATCCCCTCCTCCCCCATGCGTCCCCCATCTCTCACATCTTGTCGTCTCCGCGCCCCAAGCCCAGCGCCCACCTGCCCTTCCCCGCCATCCTCCCTTGCATGGCCTTCCCAATGCAGCCCCACTTGACGGCCTCGCTGCTGGGATTGAAAATGGAGGGGCAACACAACTAGAAATCTGCTAAGGGTTCATATCAGTGAATCCTAGTGACAGAGCACGGGCTTGGCTTTTGGCATTTTTTCAACATTGCGCAACTAGAGAGTTGGCTGAAGGGAATTTGCTAGGTTGCTGTAGGAGGGGAGCCGCGATGATGGAGCACCGCCGGAGTTCCAAGAGGAAATGCGAATGGATGCTGTTTGCAGCAACGGTGCTTTCCGCATTCACTCTTGCGCAATGTATCCCAATGAATAGGACGTTCACGACAGACGGTATGTACAAATTCTCGCCAAACATCAGCAAGACGCCGCAAACGTTGGGTCTCTTCTTTCCAGCCCCCCTTCCCTCGGGCACTTGCTTCCCCCCTTAAGTTACGTCGCTCCGCTGCGTCTACCACGCATTGACGGCCGCTTGGCTATCCACTTCATCTTTAGTTTTTTTCAGATCTGCATTCAAATTTATAACAGTGCATTGTCCTTCTTCAAATAAACCTCCTCTCTCTCTTGATGCCGTTAAATCATCAACACCGAAAGTTAACCATCATGATGCGATCCTTCGGTCCTCGTTGTGCCCCACTTCTTATTCACCCGCCCTCTCATGCGTCGTGCCTCGTGCCCCTTGCCCCCCCATGCGCCATGGCTCGCGGCAGTGCTAACGCTGAACCAGCTCAAGAGCTCCTTCCAGTCGAGCGTCGGCGCGCTCAGTTCGTGGAAGGGGTCGCACCCCTGCGCCGCGGGGCCCGCCAAGTGGAGGGGCATCGGCTGCCTCAACGACCTCAAAAAGCGCATCGCCTACGTCGCCAAGATGTGGGTCCCACGCCGCCGAAAAGTAGCATCAGGCGACTCTCTCTCACGCTGTTGAGTAACGGGCGGAGGAGGTCTTTATGCGCTGCTGATCGTTTCACACTTCACATTGCGCACAACCATGTTTCCCCGCCTCCCGCTGCGACGTCCTGCTCGCCCCATGATCGAAATCCGCTTGCGTTGTGCCTCATCTCGGATCTCCCTCTACCTCTACCACTCTCTTCCCTCCTCCGTGCCCCTGCCACGTCACTCCGTCCTCCCGGCGCGCCAGCGATCTGCGAGGGTTGGGGCTGCAGGGGACCATTCCCAGAGCCATCGGCAACTTCAAGAACCTCCGATCCCTGTGAGCGCCGCCTCCTCGCCCCACTCGCCCCTCGCGCGCCACCTCTTCGTGCCCCCACCCTCACGCGCTTCACCACTTGGTCGCTCGTGCCAGCTGGGATGATATTCTGCAACCAGATGAACGTGCCATCGCTGCAGCAAACGCTCTGCCCCGGTGTGCCCATGCTCGCCACTGCCGTCCACCAGTCAACCCTCACACCCTAACGTCCCCTCTTCCTCCTCCCCACCCCCCTTCCTCTCTCAACACGTGCCTGCATCCTGGCGTGTGCGTGGCGAGCAGCGACCTGTCGAACAACAGTCTGTCGGGCAAGCTGCCCCTCGAGATGGCCAAGATGATGAGCCTCAAGACCCTGTCAGTCCGCCGCCCCGCCGCACGCTCTCTGTCACCCACTGCCGCCCGCATGCTCGCTTTGCGCAGTGCGTTTCGAAATGCCGCTGCTCTCTTCCGTCGTGCACCCCTTGAGCTGTGCGCCCCTCGTGCGCTGCACCCATCATCCGCCGCATGCCCCATGCGCCCTCGCCTCCCCCCTTGCGTGTGGCGTGCAGCATTCTGGACAACAACCAGTTCACGGGGAACGTCAGGGGGCTCATCGGCATCCCCAACCTCAAGATCCTGTGAGCCGCGCACCCCCGCGCGCGCTCCAACGCCGCGCCGGAAGTAGTTATAGGGGCGCGCATTGCGCTGGTGCATGAGCGGCGAGGAAGTTTGTGAAACGGGGCGACGAGCACTTTGGGCGATGACATGCCATGGCGAAAGATAATATGCAGTTACAACTGTTACAGTCGCCACATTGTTACGCGCTGCTTGAGGGCAAGTGCCGCGTCAAGTAGGACTGGTGACGCGACTTTAGGCACTGATACAGCCCAGAGCGGTAGCTGCTGCGCCTTGCAAGGCGGACCCCTCCTACCGTCTCCGTCTTCCCTCCCTCGACCTTGGATCCCTCATGCCGTCCCTCCTCATGTCTCTTCATCCCTCCTCATGTCCCTTCACCCCTCCTCATGTCCCTTCATCCCTCCTCTTGCCCCTTCACTCGTCTTTGCCCCTCCGCTTTAACCCCTCTCTCGTTTTCCCCCGCCTCCCCCCTGCCCCACAATTACTTTCACATGCACACGCGCTGCGTGCCGTGTGCGTGGCGCGCAGGTCGCTGGCTAACAACCAGCTGTTCGGGCGGCTGCGCGACGTGCTGCTGGATCTGGTGATGCTGGAGCACGTGGTGCTCAGCCGCAACAATTTCAAGGGGGCGCTGCCGCGCACCATCCACCTCAGAAACCTCAAAGTCTTGTGAGCTCCTCCGTCCTTCCCTCTTCCTCCCTCCGTTACCCATAACCTCGTCGCTTTCTCTGTCCCCCTTAACTGTCCCGCACAGCACCAAACTCCATATGGCGCTGCAAGATTGAGGGGTCCTGTGCGTTTTCAGAAACCATCTCTGGTTTTCCCTGCCGTGCCCTCTGCTCCCCTGTCCGTCGCGTGCTGTGCCGCAGCGACCTGTCGCACAACCAGCTGTTCGGCAACCTTCCATTCGGCCTGCGCCGCTCCAAGCAGCTGCAGAAGCTGTCAGTGCCCACCTGCTCCCCGCCTCTCCTGCTCCCGCCCTGCTCCCTCGCTTTCTCCTTCTTCTTGTGCCGTGTCGCGCTGCACAGTAACACGCGATCCCACCGTGCCATGGGCCTCAATCCATGCGCTGCCCGTGATAGGCCTGTGCTGCCCGTGATAGGCCTGTGCTGCCCGTGATAGGCCTGTGCTGCCCGTGATAGGCCTGTGCTGCCCGTGATAGGCCTGTGCTGCGTCCGACTGGTGCGCTCATGCCCATGTGTGCGCGCGGGCTCGCCCTGCCCCCCCTGGCTGCGTGGGCAGCGATCTGAGCTTCAACAACTTCACGGGCGTCATCCCGCCCATCTGGGGCTCGCTCAAGAGCCTCCAGCAGCTGTAAGCCGCGCCCTGCCCGCTCGTCCCCCTCTTCCGTACATGTCTCGCGCTTTTATGGCCTGCTGTTGTGCTGTGAGGGGAAGAGCAGCGAGGGGGCAGACGCTGCAGCACACAGGCGTGCTCAGCCGACGTGCACGGTGGCCGCTGCCCTTTCGTCCGCTCTTCCCTGCTCAACGTCTCGCCCCTCATCCCTTGCCTCCACTCCCTTCTCTCCCCTTGCCATCCGTGGCGGTTTCATATATCCTCACGTGAACTACCCTCTTCGCGCGCGCGTGTGTGTGTGTGGGCAGCTTCCTCAATGACAACTTGCTCAACGGCTCGCTGCCAAAGGCACTTGCGGACTGCAGCAGCCTTGTAACGCTGTCAGTTGCTCTCACACTCCCATCCCTGCCTCATGCTCTCCTCTTTGGCTCGTTGCTCTCGTGCTTCTGCCGAGCCTGCAGCCGCCACCAGCCAGGTTGCTCCTTCATAGCGGCTGCAGTTCCACTCACCTTCCGTTTGTCCTCCCCATGTGTGCTTCTGCTCCTGTGTATCGGTGTGTGGTTGCGCGTGTGCGTGTGCCTGTGCGGGGGGGGTGGGGGCAAGCGTGCGTGTGCGCGCGCATGCGCGCGCGTGTGTGTGCTGTGCGTGTGTGTGTGAGAGAGCGTGCATGCATGTGCGACGTGTGTATCTGCCCATGGCTGCGTGCGCGTGTGCGCCCCTGTCCCTGCCAGTGAGCTGCAGAACAACAGGCTGTCAGGCCCGGTGCCTCCGCGGTTCGCGAACCTGCCCAAGCTAAAGGAGCTCTTCCTAATGAACAACAACTTCTCTGGCATGATGGGGAAGGCCTACGTCGACCACGGCATCCTGTTCCGGTACTCCCCTGCGCTCCCTCCCTCCCACCGCGCGCATGCCCGCTGCGGCCTCTCTCTCTCACCTGCACTCGCTGCACTCCACTCTCATGCTCGTGCACCCTGGGCCTCTGTATGCCAAGCCCATGCGCGCACAAGCCCCAACCACAACCAGTGCCCACTTGCGTGTCCCCCTACCCCTCTCCCCTGGACCGCAGCATTAACGGCAACCGCCACCTGTGCGTGGACTTGGACAGCAACGGCCGCTGCGACCCCGACAACCAATCCAACCCCAACGCCCCTGGCAAACCCAACCTCCCCTCCACCCCCACCGAGCCCGCCCAGCCACCACCATCCCAGGGGCAGGGCGGCGAGGGGCAGGGCGAGGGGAACACACCCCGGGGAGAGGTGGGAGGGGCGGGAGAAGCCGGGGGTGAGGCAGGTGGCGGTGCAGGAGCAGCGGCGGCGGTGTGCGCGGCGGGGCAGGCAGAGAGCTGCGAATGCGCGGACGGGCAGACAGGCGAGAAGAAGTGCCTCGACGACGGCACCGGCTATGGGGAGTGCGTGTGCGCCGCCGGTACGTTGGCGGTTCTGCCGCATGCCGCTAGGGTGAAGCCATGCGTAGGGCATGTCGGAGGAAACATGGGGAATGTGTGGGTGGGGGTGTGGGTGTGTTAGGGGGAGGGGCCTCACTGAGGCACGAAGGGACAGGGGACGAGGGACGGGTAGAAACCGCTGGGAAATGAACAAAAAGGCTGTCTGAAGCATGGCTGTGTTGAACAGTCCGCGTTGCCACGTGCAGCTGTCCTTTCATGCACTCACATGGCCTCGCCTGCCCATGTCAAGCTGTTGAGCGCATGGACCACCAACGTCTCATCACATCTCATCTCCTCCCTCCACTCGTCCCACCCCCTCCTCCCATCTGCACGTTCCCCTCCTCTCCTTCCCCCTCTCCCCCCTCTCCCCCTCTCCCCCTCTCCCCCCTCTCCCCCCTCTCCCCCCTCTCCCCCTCTCCCCCCTCTCCCCCTCTCCCCCTCTCCCCCTCTCCCCCCTCTCCCCCTCTCCCCCCTCTCCCCCCTCTCCCCCCTCTCCCCCCTCTCCCCCCTCTCCCCCCTCTCCCCCCTCTCCCCCCTCTCCCCCCTCTCCCCCCTCTCCCCCCTCTCCCCCCTCTCCCCCCTCTTCCCCCTCTGTCCCCCTTCCCCCGCCCTTGGCAGCCGCCCCGCCACCGTCGGGCGGGTCGTCGTCGTGGAAGTGGCTGATAGCGCTGCTGGTGCTGGTGCTGATCGCGCTGCTGGCTGTGGCGGGGTACTGGGCGGTGAAGTCGGGGTTCATCGGCAAGAGCAAGGGCGCGGGGTGGGAGTACGTGGGGCGCGTGAAGGCGTTCCCCGACATGAAGGCGTACCGCTCGCACGCCTACGACCCCGACGACCTCGACGGCTACGGCGTCCCCGCCTTCGACTCCCTGCCCAAACACCCCTCCGATGGCGCCGCCGCCGCCGCCAAGCCAGGTGGGCAGCTAGGGCATGTGGGAGGAAAGGAGGGGTGGAAAGGGGGGGGGGGAGGGGGGAAGAGGGAGGGAAGGAATTGGAGGTAGTGAATGGAAGGAAAAGGGAAGAGGAAGGCTTCATTGAGTTGGATAGATAGGGGGGCGGGAAGGGGGGGGAGTGGGAACGAGAGGTGGAAAAGAGCAATGCACCTGCGCATCAATATTCTCGCGCCCTCATCCAACACCCCCGCCCACCTGCCCTCCCTCCCTCCGCGTCCCTTTCTTCCCTCCCTACGCCCCCCGCCCTTCCTCTTGCCCCTCCGTCTTCCCCCAGGCGCGGCGAAGCTGACGCTGACGCGGTTTTCGTTGGAGGAGCTGCAGCTGGCGACCAACAACTTCAACGTAGAGAACGTCATCAGCACGGACGGCGTGTGTCGCACGCTCAGCGGCGTGCTGCCGTCGGGGCTGTATGTGGCGGTCAAGGAGATGGACCCGCTCGCACACGAGTCGCCCGATGCCTTCGTGGCGGCGGCTGAGATGTTCAGCGGCGTGCGCTGCCCGCAGCTCGTGGAGGTGCTGGGCGTGTGCGCGGACCGCAACAGCGGCGGGCGGCGCCACCACTTGCTGGTGTACGAGCTGGTGCCCAATGGCAGCCTCGACATGCACCTCCATGGTACCACCCCCGACCACGCACCCACCCAATGCCCCCACCTTCTCCTCTCCCTCCCGCATCCGATACTCATGCCGTCCTCTCCAACCCCAATCCTGCAAGCATTCTCTCCTTCCGCCGCATGCTCCCCTCCATACTTGCCCCATCACTTTCCCTCTCGTGCTGCCTCTCCTCTGCCTCCCCCCCTTCCCCCCCCGCGCTCTCTCCCTTCCCCCCATGTTCCCCCTCGTGCCAACACCCCCCCTCCCCCCAGACCTGGAGCCGGGGACGCTGCCGCTGGACTGGACGACGCGCATGTGCATCTGCCTAGACGTGGGCAAGGGGCTGGCGTACCTGCACTCGCTGCACCCGCAGCTCATGCACGAGGGGCTGCAGGCCACGTGCGTCGTGCTGGACGACCACTTCCACGCCAAGCTCGCCGACTACTGCCTCCCCACCCTCGCCGCCAACAGCTCCGGCGGCTCCGCTGCCGCGCGCACCTCTGCACTCACGCACTCCGTCAACATGGTACTGTGGAGGCAGCATCCCCCCCCGTGTACCCACCCGTCGCACCTGCGCTGTTCCTCCCTCCACAGCCCTTTCGCCTCTCGTTTCCTTGCACCTTACCCTCCTCGCACTCCCATACAACCTTCCTGCCCCTGCCCATCGCTTGCACCCTGCTTTCCCTGACTCCCTCCCCCACCCCAACCCCAATTGTGGCATGCTCGTGGCGGTGCAGGCGGTGGCGGCGGGCACGGCAGCGCCGGAGCTGGCATGGGCGTCGGAGATGACCCCGCGCGTGGACGTGTATGCCTTTGGCGTGCTGCTGCTCCAACTCATCACCGGCCGCCGCCCCGTCGACAACACCCGGCCGCCCAACGAGCAGAGCCTCGTGCACTGGGTGAGTGAGAGGCAGGGTGACAGGGGAACGGGATAAGAGGGAGAGGGGGGGAGGGAGGGGATGGTGAGGGGGGATGGAATGGTGACGGGGGGAATGGGTTCGCAGTGCGTGGGATTTGCGAGGGGATGCTGCTGTGCAGAATGGTGGTCAAGCATGTTCCTACTCTGATGTGAACAATCTTTGTGTACAGGGCTGTTGATTGTTCTCCTGTGATTCGCCTATGGCGCCTGACCCCTTGCCCTCCACCTGCTCCCCCCCTTGTCGTTGTGGGTGTGGCAGGCAAAGTCACGGCTGTCGCAGCGGTCGCTGGTGGAGGCGATGGTGGACGAGAAGCTGCACGGGTCCATCTCCACTGCTGCGCTGTACCAGGTGGCCATGCTCGCCTCGCAGTGCATCCACTCCGACCCCGAGGCACGCCCCACCATGGCCCAGGCCGTGGAGATGCTCGCCAAGGTGCAGAACCTGCCCCTCGACTCCGCCTCCTCCCGACAGACTGTGGTGAGACTGCACTCATGGGACATGCACACTCACACACATGCATGCATGCATGCATGCGCACACACACACTCACATGCACGCAGGCACATACACACGCATGCACACACATACACACACATGCAAGCACACTCCCGTCATCCACCCCACCACTCCCCCCCCCCTCTCCCCTCCTCCGACCCATCCACACACACACATGCACGCACAATCCCTGTCATCCTCCTCCCCTGACCCATCCACACACATGCTGCGTACACCACCACACCGTACACACAGCCGTAAACCATGGCATAATTCTTCAAGTGGCGAGAACTGTGCTGCTGCGCGCTGCTCTTTCCCTGCAGGCATACCACAAGGGCCCCGCCACGTACAACAAGAACGTGTGAGGTGGTCCCAGCACCCCGCTGCTGCTGCTACCACGAGAGCAGCTGAGACAGCAGTGGCAGAATGGGAGGCAGTGAGCAGTGGCAGATCCACCGACATGTCTGCTGTTGGTGGCCTCCATACCTGCCTCTCACTCGCCTGTCCAGCACTGAGGCTTATCCATGTCCCGCTGGGGAGGGCCATACCCACCCCATCCACTCCATCCATGTTATCACATTCCTCTGCTGCGCGCTGCTGCCGCGCCCTGGATGCATGGCACTGCTGTGCCTGCAGCAGGGAGAGCCAGTGCTGCACTTGCATTACGCCATCTATGTATTTTGGGGTAGTACCACGATGCCTGGTATTAGACTGAGGTCAGTGGCCATAACGCACATCAGGGGAGCTAGGGTTGTTGTACCTGATCTGTGTCCTGTGCTTGTAGTCTAGGCATGTTACCTGGAGAACTAGTGGGCTACTTATTTGATCAAGGGGAAGGTGCTTTGAACAGATGGCTGGGCGCAGAGTAGGTCATGGAACATGCCTGCAGACTAGCGTACACATGCACATGGCCTTGTTTGAAGGCACAATAATCAGAAACGCCAACTGCTTGAACAGAGCACCTTGTAGACAAACTTAAAGCGAAGGTATCAAGAAGCAAAAAACCAGACCCAAAGATTGTGTTTTGAGGGGGTCTAGAAAATAACGATGTGTGGTGAGGGGTGTTAACGTAGAAACGAATGATTACTAGAGGTGGAAACCTAGAACAAATACTAGTTGGTTGTACTCACTAGAAGCATACCTCAGTCTAGCCTATAACTTCTACATAGATAATATGTATAAGTTGACACACCCCCTAGGCTAGACAAGGGGTGAAACGAAACAAGAAGCAAACAGCTCAGGGCGGCACTACTAGTCCAACCACTGAGGCAGGGGTCTGGAGACCAGTCAGCAAGAATACAACCAAAACTGAAGCAAGCCAGGGTGGCACTACTAGTCCAGCCACTGGAGGTAAGGCCACAAGGCCAGTCTGACAAGCATATATAATAGAGAGTACACAATCAGGATCCTAACAGGGGAGCAGCTACAGGAACAAGACCAAGCTGTACACAGTGCCGCTGATGATCTTTAGGCGCAAGCGCCTTAGTAAAGATATCAGCTGTGTTGGCACCTGAGGCCAAGTGAACTACGCGGGCCTGGCGGCGCTGCTGTAGCTCGCGCAGGAGGAAGTACCGCAGCTGGATATGCTTCGCTCTGCCCTCAAGCCGAGGCTCCTGACACAGGAGTATCATGGCCCTGTTGTCAGCGTACAGGACCGGGGCAGAGCTAGGCCGCTCACCTAAGTCTGTGAGCAAGAAGGTCAGCCAGCGGAGCTCCTGTGCCGCCATGGCACCAGCGTAGATCTCAGCCTCACAGCTAGACTGAGCCACAGACGACGAGCGAGTGGATCTCCAAGAGATAGCACCCGAACCAAGGCTGAAACAGTAGCCCTGCGACGACCTGAGCGTCTCAGCGTCGTCTGCCCAAGAAGCGTCTGTGTGCCCAGTAAGGACCACTGGCCTGCGTCCTCCTAGCACTAACCCCATGCCTGATGTACTAGCAAGATAACGCAAAACCCTCTTAGCGGCAGACCAGTGCTGAGGTCGGTGTCTGCCTGTAGCCACAAAGCGAGCCAGGATGCTGAGAGGGTATGCGAGATCTGGGCGAGTGCAAGTCATCAGGTACATGAGGCAACCCACCAGCTCTGCGTAGGGGCCACTGGGCTCTACTGACTCCTCAGGAACGGGAGCAGAGAGCCCATGGTCTACGGGTAGAGGTGTGGGCTGTGCAGAGGAGAACTGAAGACCGAACCTCTGAAGGACCTGACGCACCAAGTGTGACTGGGTCAGAGTGATGGTGCGTGCTGCTCTGTCCCTAGAGATCTGCAGGCCAAGATAGCGACGCAGCTCTCCAAGGTCAGTGCAGGTGTGTCTCTTCAGCAGCTCAGCCTTCACAGAGGCCAGTGCGTCCCTGTCAGGAGTAGCGAAGACCAGGTCGTCTACGTAGACAAGGATGTAGAACGGAGTCTGGCCGGAACGCACAAACAGTGAAGGGTCAGCAGAGGACGGAAAGAACTGCAGGTCTGCTAACGTGGCACGTAGCGTGTCGTGCCACTCGCGGGGAGCCTGACGCAGGCCGTAGACCGGGCGCCTGAGAAGCCACTGGGTCCCAGGAGGGAAGGTACCAGTGAAGCCCTGTGGTCGGCGCAGGTAGACCTGCTCGTGTAGGCTGCCCTGAAGAAAGGCAGTAGAGAAGTCGAGGGAGTGAAGCTCGTAGTCACGCTGTGCTGCTACGTGTAGCAGCGCCCGAAGAGTGGTCATCTTCGGGGTCGGGGCGAAGGTCTGGAAGAAGTCAACCCCCTCGCGCTGACTGAAACCTCTGGCCACGTAGCGCGCCTTGAAGACAGGCGGCTCTCCAGGGGGGCGCTTCACCTTGAAGAGCCACCGACCATCGACTACGTTCACCCCAGGCGGGGGAACTGCGTCGACGTAAGTGCCGGTGGATCTCCAAGATGCCATCTCCTGCTCCATGGCAGCTATCCACTGAGAGGCCCAAGGTCCCGAGGTGGCCTCAGCGTAGGTGCGAGGGGTCGGGATGTCGAAGGCGTCTGGGTCACCCTCAGGGACTAACAGCATGGAGCAGAGATGGGGAGCAGCCTCGGAAAGGAAAGCCAGCTCGTACTGCCTGTCCTCTAGGACGTCACTGCCAAGGGCAGGAGCACCCCCGACGGACAGAGGACGGGCAGGGTCAGAGACCAGAGCGGTAGCGTAGTCAAGGCGGCGGGTAGAGGCGAAGTCAGCGACAGCAGCGACAAGCGCGTCAAGGCGCGAGACAGGAACAGCAGGGTCGGTAACAAGAGAGGCAAGGACCCGAGGGACAAGGGGACGAGCAGCACGGAGGTAGTCAGAGAACGGAGGAGGTGCAACAGCAAGGGACGAGGGAGGAGGGGACGGGAGGAGGGGAGGACGAGACGAGTGGGAACGGAGCAACATAGGGTGGGTGGGCAGGACAGGAGAGACGGGACGAGCACGGGAGGGACGGCGAGCCCAAACGTGAGACGGAGGGGTAGGGTCAGGGGACAGCGGAGGAGACACACGAGGGGAACGAGGAGGAAGACGGGCCGGAGACGAGTCTGGCGGCGGGAACACAGGACCGTAGACAGAAAGGTCAGGAGGCGGTGGGGGAGACACCGGCGCGCGGTCCGGGGAGGGAAGGCCGAGCAGGCGGAGAGCGGAAACCGGCGGCGACGGCTGCTGCGGCGGCGACGACGGCTGGGCCGGAACTCTCGGACCAGCAGAGGCAGAACGACCGTCGGCAGAACACTCAACAGCAGCACCCCCAGAACCAACACCCCAAGAGCGAGAACCCCCTCCAACACCAGCGGCACCCCCAGAAGCCGCAGGACGAACACCCTCCTCCACACCAGCACCCCCAGGGGCCGAGAGCAGCGGCGGCAGTGGCGGCAACGGCTGCGGCGGCGGCGACAGCGGCGACGGCTGCGGCAGCGACAGCGGCGGCGGCGGCGACGACAGCGGCGACGGCTGCGGCGGCGACGGCGACGGCGGCGGCAGCGGGGTCGGCGACTGCGACAGTGGGGGCGGAGGCACCGGGGAAGGGGGACGCTGCAAGGACGGACCGGGGGTACCACGAGAGTCAGCAGACTCCTCAACGGGGACAACCGACGGGAGGGGAGTGACGTGGGAGACACCAGACGGGGCAGGACGAGGCGGGAGAGGGGCAGGGGCTACCGGGGGAGAGGGAGCAAGGAAAAGGGGGGGGGCAACTGGGAGACCTCGGTGAGGGAAGCGGCGGTAGAAGGAGACGGACTCGTCAAAGGTGACGTCACGAGAGTGGAGGAAGCGGTGAGACGGCGGGTGGTAGAAAAGCCATTCAGACGAGTCCAGGGGGAAACCGAGGAAGACACAGGGGACAGTGCGGGCAGTGAGCTTGTCCGTGCCAGAGGCACGAACGTGAGCAAGGCAGCCCCAGACGTGGAACGCAGACGCGTCACCGGGGGACCCGGTCCAAAGGAGGGTCGGCGAAACCTGCGGCCGCTGGGAGCGTGGCCACAGGTTAAGCTGGTGAGCCGCGTAGCGAACAGCGAACGGCCACAGAAAATGGGGGGGCATCGGCATGGATCATGGAGGTACGGGCGACCTCCATGACCAAGCCGATGCGGCGCTCAGCAACCCCATTCTGCTGTGGCGAGTCCGGCAACGTGTACGACTGGGTGATGCCCTCCGCACGACAGAACTGTCCAAGCCGACCAGAGGCGAACTCGCCGCCACGGTCGGAGTGGAGACACAACACGGGGAGACCGCGGTGGAGACGCGCAGCCACAACCCACGGGAGAAGAACGTCGGGCACGTCGGCCTTCCGCTCCAGGGGAAACACCGTGGTGTAGCGCGTGTAGTCGTCGACGAGCACAAGGAAGTAGCGCTCACCGCGCGGTCCGGGGACGGGGGCAGGGCCCCAAACGTCCAAGTGCAGGGTCTGAAGGGGGGCAGTAGCAGGACGCAGCGAGGAGGAGTGAGGAGCACGGCGGAGCCGACCCTCGACGCAAGGCGTGCACGGTGGCGCAGTCGAGGGAGGAAGGGCAGGGAGCGACGCGGGGAGACCTAAGACAAGACCGTGCTGGGACATGTGACGCAGACGCGGGAGAGCAGGGTGACCTAAGCGGTGGTGCCAGAGAAGGGAGGGGTGAGTGAGGGACCGACACGAGCAAGCTGCAGCGACCTGGGAGGACGCACCAACCGGGGGGGAAGCGGTGTGTAGGGTAAACAGACCGGACACCGGGTCCCGGGGGAACGTCGCAAGGGGGGAACCTGAGACAGCCTCAGAACAGACAGCGAACCGCTCGTGCCCGGGGAACGTGGTGGTGACGCCGAGGTCCTGGAGACAGCCGACACCAACCAGGTTCCTGGAGAACGAGGGAACGTGGAGGCCAGTAAGGGAGCCCGAGGGAACTGCCGGACAAGGAAGGGACGTAGAACTGCGCGCGACGACCGGACCCGCAGAGGGGTCAGCGAGAGAGACAACAGCAGGTGCAGCAAGCGGCGTGAGCGTGGAACGGTCGCGGAAGAAGCAGGCAGAAGCACCAGAGTCGAGAGTGAAGGACAGCGACGCAGTGGCGGAGGCCGGGGACGGAGCCGGTGCAGCGACTAGACTAGGCAACCTAGGCAGTCCTACGCCTATCTGATCCATGTCTAACTCAAAGATCGGCACGCCCTGGCGGAGCAGGCTGTGCCAGTCAGGGAGGTCCGGGGCCGGGCCAAAGCGACGACGAAAAAGATCGTCGAGGCGGCGGAAACAGCGGGCGGTCGGGTGCGGGCGGCGGCACAGAGTGCCGCGGAGAGGCCCGGTCTGAAGCTGGTACTGGCAGGTCACAGCACTGGAGCCGCTGGTAGACGCCAAGCTGCGCGGGCCGCCACCACGGCCACCGCCTCCGGAGGTGCCGGGCCAACCAGGCGGGAGACGAGCCCACGGCTGCGGCGGGTGCTGCTGGGACGGCGGCTGCGGCTGGGGCTGGTCCTGCTGCTGCTGGGGCTGCTGCTCCTGCCCACCGGTG